CAATTTTTTCTTGACCGTTTTCTTGAGAGCTGCATACAGGGCTTTACGCTCTTGATTTTGATTATGGGCTGGTGTTGGCTAGTTTTAGGTGCAATCCCATAANTGAATAGAAAGTTGCAAATAAGTATGCAAATTTATTGAATTTTCCTGAGTTTTGCACAAAATTTAGAGATTTAGTTTTTATGGTTTTTGGTGTAGGACGAATTATATATTTATAAAAAATTATCGAAAATAAATTATAATAAAAAACTTTTCAGATATTGCGAAAAATTCTCTGTGCCAATACTTTTGTCCGGCACTGTATATAGATTTTTTATAATATCTACTTTATAATAATAATAAAAAATATTTTTTACTATTCTTATATTTAATACTAATACTTTTTCGCAAAATGGCGTATTGCCACCCTGAAATATTCGCGTGCTGGCTGTTCGGTTCACCCAGCAAATCGTGATGGCTGTTCGATTTCGAAAATTCTCTCACTACGTGCTGTGGACAACAACAATTTCACGGTGATTGCCAATCGAAATTAGTGGCGTAACCACGGCCTTAAAAGCACCCGCCACGGCCTTAAAAGCACCCGCCACTTTTTTTGTGTGCCGGTGCTATTATTCCGTGAGTCGCAGGTCTAAGTATCGGCACATTCCGAACGAAAAATTACACTGAAAATGGCACAACGCCGAAACCGGTTTGTCTCCAAACCAAATTTGACAAGGGATGATGGAAAATCGTTCCACATTACATCATACTCCTACCCTGGCACATGCAGTAATTAATTGATAGAAAAATATTTTCTAATAAAAAAAAATATAATTGTCAATAGCATTTTCATTCACAAATTATAAAAATATTGAATTTTTTAAGTGCACNGATTTGTACTTAAATCGGCTGAAAAAAATGATATTCGCAATCGGAATGCAATTGCAACCAGAGTCGATTTAAGAAACCCGACAGCTAGTACGGTGAAGAAATTGAAATGTATGTTAGAGAAAGGCAGAACAACAAGAAATATACATGTATATTTTTGGCCATCCGAACGAATTTTAAAAATTCNATGGCTGTTCGATTTCGAAAATTCTCTCACTACGTGCTGTGGACAACAACAATTTCACGGTGATTGCCAATCGAAATTAGTGGCGTAACCACGGCCTTAAAAGCACCCGCCACGGCCNAAAGAATACGAAATAGCGATGAGCCAAATGTGGTGTTGCCACATGTTCCGATTATTGCAGGGTCGCCACAGAATAAATTGATATATCGATTGCAGAATCGATTTTTTGGCGCCTCTACTTAGGCATTCAAATTCTGAGCAGTAACATCGATACATCGATGTTTCGATGCATCGGAGAAAAGAGCATCGAGACTTAGGTCGGTGTTATGCAGAAATTTTGTTTGGCAAACTGCGTGCAATTGTTGTTGCAGCAAACTCGGAGAGAGCGAGTTTGGCGACTCTCACAGCAAACTAATTTTGTTTGGTCAAACTGCAGCAAATTCGGTGTTGCCATATACAAAAATTTTAAATTTTGCGCGTTAAGGTATTGGCCCAATGCGNAAGAACCGGGCTGCAAGCATATACATATTTGTTATGAAATATAGCAGTGATATTCAGCATATTTTTTTCTCACTGAAGAAGTGACGATTTTGGTAACTTTTCTTACGAGATTTTGGTAGAAAAAAGGTTGGCGAGTGGCAACCATGGTCATAAATATAAATGCAGAAATAACCGCTACCTCTTCTTCCAGGTTGTGTAAAAAGGTTTGTTCGTCGAGCAAAGAATTTGTACGAATTTGTACGAATTATCACGATTTTTGCCCAAATCGCGTTCGTGCAGACCAAAAAATTATCCAACACTCAAAAATTGTGAGAGCAAAGTGACAGTTCTCTTGGAGAGAAGTTGCAAATTCTTGCTGGAAAAAATTTTGCCAGCAAGAATTTGCAAACACGAAAAACATGTGGTTGTGGCGCATGGTTGCATTTTTGTCTACAATAATTTGAATAAATTAGTTCGTTAAATTTAAAAATTTATAAACACGAGCGATTTTTTTATGAAAAAAGGAAGTAAATAATTGTTGATATAATTAATTTAGTTAATTCCAATGATTTGAACTTAATTCGGCTGAAAAAAATGGTATTCGCAATCGGAATGCAATTGCAACCAGAGTCGATTTAAGAAACCCGACAGCTAGTACGATGAAGAAATTGAAATGTATGTTAAAGAAAGTCAGAACAACAAGAAATATACATGTATATCCTGTTTTTGGCCATCCGAAAGAATTTTAAAAATTCTATAAAAATTTTTTATGTTTGAAATGCAACCGTGGACGCCAGCTGGCAGCGAAACTTGCAAATTCCTGCAAATTTGCGTTCGTGCAGAAATTTGCAAGTTTCTCAACATGAGAGAGAATTTGAGAGAATTTTTTCTTACTCTCTGATATTTTGAGTGTTGGATAATTCTTGCTGGATTTCCGACGAACAAACCTATTGAAAAGTACGGGATCGCTTTCTTGTTAAAAATGGTAACTTCTGTCAACTTCAACATAACCTCCAAATTTTGGTTGTAAATTTTTGCTTATTTTGTATGTAAACACACTCAGCTCACACATGTAAATAACCAAAAATACTTTCAAATTCATTAAAATCCACTTAAACAAGTAATTAAATACTTTTCAACATGAATTAGCAGAGTGCACTTTTCTTTTGTTTACAATTTGGTTGCCAAACACACTACAGCTGATCGTTTGACACATTTACCAGAATTTACCAGCAAAAAATTCTCGGACTAAAACTGGTAACTTCTGACAGAGAGAGAACCGTATTT